GTTCACAAATTTACAAAGAAAAAATAAAATAAATTGCATACGATGATGAAAAAATGCCCCAAACACGCCGAAAAACCAAGTTTCATTGTCAAAATTTTAAAAAAATCCTTTTCAGAACATTTGAAATTTTGACTAAAATTGTTTTTCTTGCATTAGCCTCTGGACTATAAAATAACGCAGCAAATTTGAGTTTTTTTTGTTTTTTTTTTTTCAGTAAAAGTTACATTGATTTAGAAATTCTTGCAAAAGTCAAATAATTGTCAGAACTTTTAGAACTTATTCACAAAATTTTTTTTTCTCTTAGACAGTCTTGGTAAAAATATTTTAAAATCCATTACCCACCACCCTTACTTAATTTTATGAAAACTCAAGAAAAACAAAGATGTCGTTTTTACTGATTATATTAGTTAAAAGCAGAAGTCAGATGAATTTAAATTCTCCATTTCTTTTTGTAAAACCGGACCAACAGTTACTAAAAATCTGCTCTGAATTATAAAATACATGTTGTGACCAAGTAAATGGTTAAGAAATAAGAAAACAAGACGTTACGGATAAATAGTGTATTGGACAATAAATACAACAAAAGTGTGTTTCACGGCTTGGGAGTGTGTGTCGGTTGACCAGCGTTCAGTCTATATCACTGTCCCCCCCCCCCAAACCGAGGCTTACTTTCCCTACTAACTTTATTGTGAGTGGAAGAGTCCACAATAGATTCATTAGAGGGAGAACACCACAACAATACAAAACTCAATAAAACTAAGACATTACTTAATTAAAAAAGCTTTTAATTGCTTTGATGAATAATATATGTTAAGGACAATATTGTCTGAAGCAATATGTAAAATTTATCACTTAACTGATATTAAATTCAGCAACCCGACTCCAGAGCTTTATATAAAAAATTTGTGCAATCGTTTAGTCTACTCATCAGAAGGTATCAGCAACTGTCTTTTGATTTTCTTATTTTCTGTATTTTTATATTAAAAATAATTCATGCACTTTCTATTGGTGTTAGGCTGGTGTCTTTGTGTATATATATATATATATATATATATATATATATATCTCTCAAAGAATCCAGCCTAGATTGTCATACTAAATAAAGATTGTGTCTTGAACAGGAATTGAACAAGTGTCCTCTTTTCTATTAGTGAAACAGTTTTTAATACCAAAATGTGACTTTACCAATTCTGTTATGAAGGCCACATTAATAAAAACAGTTTCCCTGATAGAAAAGGGGATACAGGTTTAAATACGGTCGGAAGTAGAATTTTTTTTTTTTTTTATTAGGACTTCACAGTCTAGGACGGTTGTTATTAATGTTATTGGTTAAGAAAATTAAAAAAACAAACAAACAAAAAAAAAACAGCGATAACAACTTAAATACATGTACACATTAAAAAAAAGAAAAAAAAAGAAAAAAAAAGAAAAAAAAAAAAGAAAGAAAAAAAAAAGAACAACACATTACACAAACTAGTTGAAGTACTTGCCTATGCAGGGTAAAAGGTCAAAACTTAAATGGAAGCTAGGTACGACAGGAAAAGTATCCCACAGTGCTGTATGTGTTGGTAAGACTACGTCAGAATCATGTTATGCAAAAATACCAGATGTCTATTTCCGAGGAGTTGCCCCAATAACTTCTAATAGTAAAGTGAAATAAATTAAAAATATCACTATTGTCATTTTGGTACATTTTTTTAGTGATACCAGTCATGTACAGTAAGTGCACAACAGCAACGAGTAGCATCAAAGAAGTGGGAAATACAGTTATGTTAAAGAACTCTTCTGTCAAATTGCTTTTACAAATTACACAATCTTATTCTGACATTAATAATAAAAGGGAAATTGTAGTCTTACACAGAATGGTTACAAACAATAATTCTTATTTTTTTAAAAAAAGAAAAAAGAAAAAAAAAGGGCATCCAATACAAGACTCAAGAGCCACTCAAAGTAGAGTCTTACTGCATAAATGTAAAACATGATGGTAGGAAGTGTGGATAAGGAAGATAGATAATAACCAAGTCTTGAGTTGAAGTGGTCAAGATTATAGTGACCGGGTAAGCATCCATTTTATAGATTCTGCATGCAAATTAAATAGCCTCTATTCTGAAGTTTGAAAAAAAAAAAAAAAAAAAAAAAAAAAAAAATCTGAATCAATTCTAGTCCCAAGAATTTCAAATAAAGGGATTCGTAACCTGTACAAAAAAAAAAAAAAAAAAAAACTTTATTTAAATAAAAATGAAAACTATTTCTTTTTTCTTACACTAGTAAACTAAACCATGGAAAAAGACACAGCCTTGAATACTTATAAAATCTGCAGATAGGAGTGCATTCCTTCGTAGTTTGACACTAGGGGGTCTGCTGAGAGAAAGGGAAGAAAGCAATTTTGTGCAGATTTTTTTTTTTTTTTTTTTAAACATGTCTCTCATCAATAACGACTATTAAGTCCCATGTCAACACAGACTGGCAGACCAACACTGCCTAGATTAAACAACAGGGGATTAAGTCGCAATATCTTGGGTTCTAAAGAATTCAGCTAAGCTACAAAAATTGAAAGTCTCAAAGTGAGTGAGAAAGAGAGATGGTGAGGAGGAGAGAAAGGCATGAAGAAAAAGTTATGACCCTTTGACCCTGGACACATAAATAATATTACATGGCAGATCAGGGTAGAACAAAAGTTTCAAAGAGGTATACAACTACTACTAATATTATTACTACTATTATTAATAATAATAAATATCATTAATATTAGTAATATTAATTAATAGTAATAATAATAATAATATTAATAATAATATCATTAATATTAATAGCAGTAACAATAATAATTGGTATAGTTCATGTGCTGAGGAAAGTTTTGATTCAACTCTTTCCTCAAATTGACACCAAAACACTAAAATATTTGTTTTGGAACTTCCGGCTCAAATGCCAAACAGCACTGCATGCCGTTTCTGATTTTCGGGTGGAGGGAATTGCATCATGATGCTCTTATTCTCACATATGATGCACTACTGACCCTACCATATTGTGCAGTTGACAAAAATCAACAAACAAGGCTCAAGCACAAAATTAAAATATAAAATGGCGACAATTTACCCATCGCACCATATATTATATATATATATATATATATATATATATATATATATATATATATATATATATAGGGGCACTAATGATAACTGATAAGACTGCATTGTGACAACACTGAAACTTACCACATACCACTATGTAATGCCAAACCAAAACTTTATTATAGTGGATACTCATATTTGAAATAGACAACCCATTGTTATTTCTAAGGCGCATTTTCTTTAGTAAGATTTCTTGTATGTTCAAGTCAGTAGATGAAATATATAAACGGAATCTCTAATCAAATACTGGTATCCACTTAAAACACTGTTTAAATTAGTAATAACAATCTATCCTGCAATTTGTGATGCAAATAGTTCTTTGTCATAATACGTAACCATAACTTTTACTGAATGAAATGTTAAAATTTGAAGAGAATCGGATGGAACTGGAAATATAGAAGAATTATGACCATTTTTATTTTAATGTGACGCCTTTGATGAAGTTTTGGCATCATTAGAAAAATAATCTCATTGCATTTATTAACTGTGGAATAAAATTATATTTTTAATGATCCAAAAACAAACCAATGTAAATTCTTTTTAAAATTGTCACATACTATATACGTACATTTCATTGAATAATATACATATATTATGTCTATTTATTTTTATAATAATCCTTTCTAGTTCTCTATCAGTTTCTTGATGTTAAGATGAAATTCATCAAGGAAGGTGTCATAGTTTTTTCTAACCTAAGTACTTTCAATCTTTTTCAAGATCATCACCAGCAGTAAATTACAAAGACAATCTTGCATTACATCAAAAGATTACTCATTACTTTTATTGGTGTACAAAAATTAAAATCTATGTGCATAATACAAAGAAATTTATAAAAATTTTAAAACATGAGGCGTTCATGTTTTTGCACCCTCGAAAAGATGCAGTGGCAGGGCGGACAATTCTAGAAAGAAATTAGTGTGGTAAAGTTTAAAGGTTGTGCAATAGAACTTGTATTCCTAGTCAACTGCTGAAACCGCCTGACAAATGAACCAAACCATTGCAAACAAGTTTGGTCTATGAAACTCTATGGACTATCTTTGAGAATGACAAATGAGGGCCCCATAAAATAAAGCAGAGCTCAACTTCTATGGAATGTATCTACAGAATGTGTCTCCGGAATCTTCTGTGCATGGATCTCGAGGCCAACAGGTGTTTTGCAGAATGTTAGATAGATGGAACATGTGGTTGACCCATTTTGCTTGAGTGGTTGAGGATCAATTGCCACATGTTTCCACGCGTAGACAGCAAGGCCTGCTTTACGGCATGCAACAAAGCCAAAATTGCAGGCAAGGCTGACATTGAGAGTAGCAGCATTTAATGTTTGCACGCAGCTGATTCCAATGTTCAAGTTGGCGTTGCTCAAACCTTTGTATAGGTGAGAACAGATGACAGCGCTTCATTCCCCTTCTCTTCACACGACTTAAATACTGCGTTCAATCATGGAACAGTCTTTCGGCACATACTGCTAACCTCATTGGTTTTGCCATACGCAATAAGGGTCAAAAAAGAAATGTAAATATTTCAGAGGCTTTAATTTTCAGTTTGTTAAAGATGGAATTGGATAGTATTTTTTAAATGCATTTAAAAGTTTGTAACAATAGCATAATATACAAACTTAATAATAAACAAAAACAAGTTCCAGAAAGTCATATACCCATATACAATTTTAGAAATTTCATGTTGGGGTGACATTAACAAAAAAAAAAAAAATAAAAAAAATAAACCCTTCATTTTTTTATTATTTTACAAAGTCATACACGCACACAAATGAGGACGCACACACAAAGTACAATTGGTAAATTGCCACCATTTTATATTTTAAATTTCCTGCATGTGGAGTGTTGGTTTTTGTTGACTGCGCAGAACAGTAGATTCAGTTGGACAATCTGTGAGTAAAAGAGCAGCATGATTAAATTCACTCTACGAGAAATTTAGAAACGGCATGTTGTAATGTTTGGCATTTGTGCTGAAAGCTCGACTATGAACATTTCAGAGTGTTTCTCAGGATTGCAGAAGGTTCGGAAAAAGTTGGAAGAGTCTAAAAGGTGATCACTAGTCATGGCAACATTATGCCTCCAAACATTTTCCCACAGGGCCTCAGACTCAACACAGAGGGTCTACATCAAGTGCCTTGAGGAAGTAGTGCTGCCCTGAGTCAAGAGGATGGCTGCTGGAAGACATTATTTCTGGCAACAGGACTAAGCATCATGACACAAGCAGGAAAACCCAGTCCTGGCTGTCAGAATTTCTACAACTACATCACCGCTTACAATTTCAAGTTATTTTTGTGGAATTTTGATAAATACCTCTCTTAAAATGAGACGTCAACGTTATTTTTATTTTTGTGTACTTTAGGTGACAATTTATCCATCGCACCCTGACAACACAAAGAAACTGTATAATAAATGCTTATTAGTGTATGTTCTGCAGGGGTCACTGCCCTCTCTAGATTGGGGTTGATGCTCAAAGAATTAAGTAAATAAAGCAAGGAGTGTGTGTGTGTGGGGGGGGGTAATTAAACGAGAATGACAAAAGAGGTGGGAAAATATGCAGCAGTTGGGGAGGGGAGGGGAGGGGAGTGGATGGCTTCATATAGGAAACGGAAACAAAACGTACTTAGGGGCTTTGTTGAAGGTTTAAATGTCCAACATTGATCAGTTTAATGCACTCATCCCAGAAAGACACCCCCCCAAAAATGCTCAAGTGTGCACACCCATAAAGACGCACCCCTCCATAAAGACACACTCACATGCACAATTCAAAGATGCACAATAAAACGCAGTTACACACACTTGTGCAATTAAAAGATACACAATCCCCCCCCCCACCACCAATGAAATTTTTCTACAAACCACATACAGTGAAATAAGAGACACACACTGACCCCAAAAAGACGCACTCACATACACACCCCAAAAAAGACACTGGAGCGTACACGCACACATATACACACATGCAATTAAAAGATACACATCCCCGCAAAAAAAACAAAAGTGAAAGAAAACAAAGTTATTAGATTTTAAGAAAATTAAATGAGAAAGAAAAATAATAGAAATATGGAAAGGTCATATTTGGAATGAATGATTCTATACTTTTTTCTTTATCCCTCACTGACACCAGATCGGTGATCTTCCGAGAAAATAGGTCCACTAACTTCCAACAGTTATCTTCGTCAGCAAATTATCAAAAATAACAAGATTCTAAGACTTCTCTGTGAGGTGATTACCAGCTTGTGCCCTCCCCACAAAATTGATTGCCAATCAGATGTCCACACCTCCAGTTATGACTCCTATTGTGTAAATGGGTATTATTTCTAGAAATGCAAACCCTCAACCAAAAAATAAAATTGTTTTTAAACCAAATTTCACATCTGATTCAAGTCTCTCCCAAGACTAAATGTCTCTCAAACTACCAAAACCATTTGGGACCCTAAACTAATGACTGAATACATGACATCTTAAAGATATACAAGCTTGAGACATTCCGAAACCACACCGATTTAAAATAAATAAAATTAATTAGAACCTATTAATAAAACAAAACGTTGATTTTCCCCATAGTAACTCAAACCAGGCAACATCTGATAGCCTTGCAAGTCTTCACAATCATCATTGCTGCCATCTACCATATTTGTTATGATTCCAATGCCTCAAGGCCCCCAAGACAAGCACACACACACACAACTTCTTCAAAAGAATTAACTTTTATACCTAGCGTTTTTGTCAAGTGGCTATATTGAACACACATAGAAGAAGGAGACTATATGAACGTCTCATTCTAGGCCTTTTTATCTTGATTTTTCTTTTTTCTTTCTTAGCTTTTATTTTTAGGGTATCAAGTACTTACCTGATGGCGACTGTCGGTAAAATGTTGGGGTAAGACCGGTTTCCGTGGAAACGGGCTCTCTGCAAACCAGAGAGAGCCGATCTGCAAGAAAGGGAAAAAAAAAAAATACATCATTCAATTCATTAAACGAGAAGCAAATTGGCAAATGAGGGGAGGGGGGGCGATGGGGGTAGATTAAGACACAAATGTATGCATATATTTATGGATACACAGACACACACAGGTATGCATTTGCATACAAAAGGTATTAGACACACACACACACAGACTGCAAAGAGTAGGTATATTTAAAGTACACACGTACTTGACGGCATAGAAGTTTGTAGCATTGACATGTTAGAAAAATTTAAATTGTCACTACATTATGTGTGATTAATACCTATCACTGAATTAAGTGCATTGGCAAAAACGGAGGTAATGTTGAAAAATATTTGTTGTTTAAAATAAATGATCCTCCCCTACATTCCCCTTAGGCGACAGACTTAATTGATCTACCAGTTGGTCAGGTCAGTATAGGATACTGGAGTAAAAGTTACAAAGGATGCATGGGAAGACTTTGATTTAATAAATTATTAAGGAAAAAAAAAAAAAAAAAAACATAATAAAAGAGGAGGAGGAGAGGAGGAGGAGGAGGAAGGAGGAGGAGAGGAAGAGGAAGGAGAGGAGAGGAGGGAAGAGAGGAGGAGAGGAAGAGAGGAGAGGAAGAGAGGAGGAGAGGAAGAGAGGAGGAGAGGAAGAGAGGAGGAGAGGAAGAGGGAGGAGAGGAAGAGAGGATGGAAGAGAGGAGGAGGAAGAGAGAGGAGAGGAAAGAGGAGGAGGATAGGAGGAGGGGAGGAGGAGGAAGAGAGGAGGAGGGGAGGAAGAGGAAAAGGGAGGAGGAGAGGAAGAGGAAAAGAGGAGGAGGAGAGGAAGAGGAAAAGAGGAGGAGGAGAGGAAGAGGAAAGTAAAAAAAAAAAAAAGTCCCTTTTACACATTTTTAAATTAAGTTATCCTTCTCCGAGACTGTTTGATAGTCAAGGCTTGCAGTAGACAAGAGTGTCTAGTGCCGTATTGGATTAGGAGGGGCTACAAAATGGATTTATACCTCTCTCAAGGGCATTAGTGAGAAACAGAATGCAACAGGCTAGCCTGAAATTTTAATTTGGCTCAAGTAAAAATGTTGATGGCTCTAGCAAAAATCCTCTTACTCCAAACAACAATGCTACACAATTTAGTGAGTGAGAGAGAGAAATATGAACTAACAAATATGTGGTTCAACTTGGTAAAAACACCATCCAGAAAAATTTCAAATTCTGGGAGGATGGAAAAAAGGCTTGGAGAATTTTCACTTTCAGGGCTCATAAAAGGCTTCCATGACAAATTTAAGTGTCCAAAAAAAAAAAAAAAAAATCAAGTCTTTGCGCAAGAAGTGTTGAGAAGTGGTGGAGAGTCGCTATCACTCACTCCTTGAAGAGATAGGTGAAATATAACATTGCTCTTGGTACTGTATTGTAACATGATAAACATGAATACAATAGTAAACATTTAAAACAATAGCAATGAACCGTTAGATAAGCACACTAACCATTGCCGACAGTGACGCCCTAAATAACCCTGGATAGTCTATTGCCGCAATAAAAGATATATATATATATATATATATATATATATATATATATATATATATATATATATATATATATATAGTTGTATATTTATGCAGTAATTTATGCATGTTTCATTAAAAATGACAGACAAGGTACTACAGTTAAGCTTTTTATTTAATTTTACTTATGTTCGAATAAGAGCTTTCTTTTCTGGACAAAAGAGTGTAAGAACTGTCCAAAGGTTTACATTTGGACAGTTCTTACACACCCTTTGCACATGCACGCATATATATATATATATATATATATATATATATATATATAGTGTGTGTTGTATGTAAAAATATATAATCACACACACACAAGAGAGAGGAAAAGTGTGATATATAAACCTATCTTTTTCTATCCCATGTGTGTTCGGATTAAAAATAAATCCATTAATTCTTTAGGAATTGCTTTGTTTACATTTCGGATATGGCACCAAGCAGATCAGGACTTTCCAGGAAATCTGCAACCAGCAAATGTACATTTCTTAAAAAGAAACTTGCTGGCCTGTGACCGACTCTCTCCGTGGCTGAGCACGTTACAGCATGCTGAATCAGGCAGTTGTTTTTCTTGCGAAAGTGGAATGCAGGTTAGAACCCTGTCAAAGCACACATCCCTCTTATTAAGTTTTCTTGAATGTGCAGGCCAGTAGACGCAATGCACAATGTGAAAAAAATAAAAAAAAAAAAAAAAATGCAAATACAATACCAACTATATATATATATATATATATATATATATATATATATATATATATATATATATATATATATATATATATATATATATATATATATATTAATGTTTGTGTGTCAGACCATGAAAGCTTTGTTCATTATTCGTTACTGCAGTCTTATCATGATGCACAAAATAGCTCGTTCAGATAGGACTTCAGTAGATAATAGCAAATGTCTGTTGTGTTGATGTGTACTTATCACGCACAAGAAGTATATATTACAATATGTCTGTTTAATAACACTTAGCTGAAAGTGTTGATGAAATACACTTGCAGCAATATGTGTAACTGTATATGTTATCAAACGCATGTATCAACACAACACCCAATATATATATATATATATATATATATATATATATATATATATATATATATATATATACTTCAGTAAAGACAACTAAAAAATAAGGTTTTTTCTTTCATTTTCCTTATGTCCATACAAGCTTAATAGTATGTTCTAAGTTGTACTTAACAAAACTTGTATTAAGAGATTGCTGCCCATATATATATATATATATATATATATATATATATATAATATATTATATTTAAATTTATTTTTTAAACATTATTTTTAACCCAGCCGGAGGGAGCATATTTTACTGACAAGATTTCTCAAATAGAGAAATAGATGATAGATGTAAATAAATAAAT